ATTCTGCTTCTCCCCTTTTTTTCCAGGTGTTTTAAGGCAAATCCCAGACCTTATGTCATTTCAGCCCTACATATGTCAGTAGGCATCTCTCAAAAAAATGGCATTTTCTTATGTAGCCTCAATACTACTATCTCACCTAATAAAATTAATAATTATCTGAAATTATTTAATATCCCAATTATCTATTTAAAAGATTTTATAAGGTTGGTTTTTCAAATCAGGATTCAAGCAAGTCTCACTTAATTGTTATGGCACGTAAGTGTCTTTTAAATCTAAAATAAACACTTCTTTATGTGTGCCTCTTCATTTAATTCAATCCTGAAGAAACTAGGTCAACTGTATTTCATAGAGATCTTTTTATTGCAGATCTGTTTAAATGCTTTAATTAAAAAAAAATTAGGCCAGGTGCAGTGGCACACACCACTTTGGTAATCCCAGCATTTTGGGAGGCCAAGACGAGAGGATCGCTTGAGCCTAGGAGTTCCAGACCAGCCTGGGCAAGCATAGTGTAGCCCCTGTCTCTACCAAAAAAAAACAATCAGCTGGGTGTGGTGGTGTGAGCCTGTAGTTCCAGCTACTTGGAAGGCTGAAGTGGGAAGATTGCTTGAGCCCCAGAGGTCGAGGGTGCAGGGAGCAGTGATTGTGCCACTGCATTCCAGCCTGGGTAACAGAATGAGACCCTGTCTCAAAAAGGAAAAAAAAAAAGAGAGAGAAAAAGCATACAGGATAACAAAATACAAAGAGTATAAAAAAGTATAAAATAGAAAAAGTAAAAGCCCCCTCACTTCCATCCCCAGCCAGGCAAACTTGATTTACATTCTTTTTTCAATTCTTTAATTAGCCTTTTTATTTTCAGATCATTGTAGATCACATGCAATTGGAAGAACTAACACAGAGAGGTATTGTATACCTTTTACCCAGTTTCCCTCAATTATAACATCTTTGCAAACTACAATACCATATCACACAGGATACTGACATTGATACATAAGACAAAGAAGATAAACAAATAGATTTTTAAGTAACTTTTGTCTTCTTTGTCAGTTATTGTCAATTAGAGAGTCAGGCTACGAGAGGTAGGCTACCTGAGTGTCAGAATGAGGTCATAAGAATAATGCTTCTCCCCATTTCTACTAAAAATATTAGCTGGGCACGGTGGTGCCTGCCTGTAATCCCAGCTACTCAGGAGGCTGAGGCAGAAGAATCACTTGAACCTAGGAGGCGGAGGTTGCGGTGAGATGAGATTGCACCATTGCACTCCAGCCTGGGCAACAAGAGCGAAAATCCATCTCAAAAGTAAATAAATAATGCTTCTCTATTGGTTTTCATGTGTATGCATCTCCCTTCTTCAACACATGACATTGTAGGCATTTTGTCTCCCTAGCAGTTTTTCATTTTACCCTTTGACGTCTTTCTACCTAATCCTTTGAAATCACCCAAACTGTGGGAAATTCCTGATGTGGTTAATACCCATGGAATAAACTTATATATTAGTCTTGCCACAGAAAACTCCATAAATAGTCTACTTGCATAGGTTAGAGTGATATTAGAACTTCTGATGACAGTTTGCTTTTTAATAAATTAGGACTCAGCACTTATTTTGCGATTCAGGTCTTTGGCAGAACAAAGACTCATGGGGTTTTGTTCTGATAGTTAATGGAAGAGAGAAATTTTCCCAAGGAAGTACAGATCCCCAGGCAAAGTAACGATGGAAATGTTGACGATTTGAACTTGCCTGCATTGTGCCAGCATTGCTGGGTAAAGAAGTTTCCTCTTGGGCCTTAGAGTGGAAGTGGTGGAAGAGAAATATAATTACGGGGCTGAATAAAAGTGATACCCTGGCCGGGTGCAGTGGCTCACACCTGTAATCCCAGCACTTTCGGAAGTCGAGGTGGGCGGATCACGAGGTCAGGAGATTGAGACCATCCTGGCTAACACAGTGAAACCCCGTCTCTACTAAAAATACAAAAAATTAGTCCGGCGTGGTGGCGGGTGCCTGTAGTCCCAGCTACTCAGGAGGCTGAGGCAGGAGAATGGCTTGAACCCAGGAGGCAGAGGTTGCAGTGAGCTGAGATCCTGCCACTGCGCTCCAGCCTGGACGACAGAGCGAGACTCCATCTCAAAGAAAAAAGTGATACCCTAAGATTTTCCTTTGCTGACACGTTACTTTAAAAAAATAAAATTTAGAATATGATAGTCACTTGTAGGTTGATTCATATAATTGGTACTTATTTTATTTAACTGTGTTTTCTGGAAAAAAAAAGTTTTTCTCTTCTTTTATGAATGGAGAATTTCATAGTCCTAAGAAAAGTGACATTTAAATATTTGACCAGGAGATTTCTTGGCCTGGAGAAGTTGTGTTGTGTTTATATTTAGATGCATATTTGTTTGTACTAATTACCCTAGGATTGCTTTATGGGGGTGCTCAAAATACATGCTTACAAAGGTAGGGCAGGTAATAGAAGTAACAAGGACCTGGTGAAGAACTAAGGTGTTTGGCTCCTTTTAAGGGACAGCCACTGTATCACTAGCCCTGTGAGAATGCCCGATCGTGTGGTTGCCACATCTTTCAGTTTTTGTTGTTGTTGAGATGGAATCTTACTCTGTCACCCAGGCTGGAGTGCAGTGGCATGATCTCAGCTCACTGCAACCTCTGCCTCCTGGTTTCAAACGATTCTCCAGCCTCAGCTTCCCAAGTAGCTGACATTACAGGCTCGCACTACCACGCCTGGCTAATTTTTGTATTTTTAGTAGACACAGGGTTTCACCACGTTGGCCAGGCTGGTTTTGAACTCCTGACTTCTGGTGATTCGCCCACCTTGGCCTCCCAAAATGCTGGGATTACAGGCATGAGCCACCACTCACAGTTTGTCCTTCAGTTTTAAAGAGAAACTATAAATTGTATTTTTTATTAAAGCCCTTTAAAGCCAACAAATAATTCAGATTTTAAATCAAAGCCCTGTGCACTGTGTGCTCCTGCACAGTATGCTTCTCTCTAGTATCATTTTCATTTAATTCTTGGCAATTATATGTTTACCAACTGCCAGGGAGCCCAAGGAATTTAGCTGTCACCTCAAACTTAACCAAACTTACAACCTTTATCCCTAAACCTGCTCCCTCTCTGGACTCTTTTTGCTGTTTATATTGGCCTCAGTGTTCCAATCATTTCTGAACTGAACAAGGCCTTGGTGTTTTTTCTTTTGTCCTTCCCACTATAATTCCCCAAAACCTGAATCTGTTGATTTTGTCTCAAGAATTTCCCTGTTTTCTGTTCCCTTCCTTCCTGTTCCAGCCACCCCCGTTGCTAGCCCGCCTACTGCTCCTCTGATCCAGATTCTGTCCCCATTCTAGTTCCTGTAGCATTTTCCAGCCACGTTGATCATCTTTTTCTAATACCTCTTTTGTTATCTTCCTACTCCAAAAATTCTATGTGTCCTTGTTGCCTACTATGTAAATTTCACTAATTCTGCCTAGATCTCAGGGCTTCATAGTAGTTTTATCTTGGCTGTCTAAATTTCCCCCCGGCACTCCTTAACCCATTGGTCCATTAAAGCCAACTCTACTTCCCCAATTCAGCCCCCTTTCAGGGGCTGCCAGGAATCTTGTGGGAGTTTCTGGATAATGGGTAGATCCTTTCCCTAGGCCTTGGCTGTTGAGATGACGTAGATTCTGGAGTTTTTAATTTTTTTTTTTTTTTTTTGATAAACCTCTATTACCATTTGGCCCCAACACCTCAAGGCAAGAAGAAAGTGGAATAAAGGAAGACTCCAGGAGAATCCAACTCTAACTGGGGAAGATGCTGGGAGGGAAGAAGGCTGCTTTGAAGTCCTCAGATTCCCAGTATACCCAAGTTGAGGCTTCTCCATCAGAGACTTTGGGATGGAGAGGTCTTACTTTACTACCTTTGAGAGTTCCTACTTCAGCAGCTTTCTGCCTCTCTCCCTCCCGCTGAGACCAGAAATGTTTGCTTTGAAACGTGAAGCTATACTAACCACAGGCATTTTGCAACCTAAATGCAGCGTATGCTCATTCTCCTTGCAGCCCACCTAGCTGTGCATGTCCTTAGATAGTTGTGATCGACTTGGTCACTTTAATCAACTAGAACAACTTGTAGGTTAATAGGTGAACTTCCCTATTCAGAAAAGTCTTCAGATAATTTCTTGTTTTGATGAAGTGCTGGTAATTTGCTGAAACATTCTTTCTTGCCTCTCTCCTTTGCATTTTGTTTAGACTCCTGATGTATATAACACATAGCACCTAGAATTATAGTTATCTGAATGTGTGACTATTTGCCATTTTACTCTTGAGCTCTATGAGGTAACAAGTGCTGCTTTTGTGTTCCCAGCTTTTAACACCATGTCTGGTTATGAAAAGCACTCAACAGAGTAGATCCTTGACATTTTCTGATTGTACATCCCAAGTCTATGAGGAACCTTAGAATCTGTGACTGTCATTAACTACGACATACATTTCAAATGATTATTAGGCCCAGTCCCCAGCTAAATAACTTGCAGCTAAACCGAGTTGTGTCAGCTTAAGCCTCAGATTCTAACAGGAGCATTTTCTGTACTTTATCTCATTTAATCAGCACAACCACCTTCTACAGTGAATAATATTTTTTCTCCATTGTGAATTATTATATGACATCGACTTTGGGAGTGGCTTGGCAAATGCATGCAAGGCCTGCTGAGCAAGTTTGGATGGGTGAATAGATAGATTATTAGAAAAAAATAATGATTAAATGATTTGTTTCCTAAGGGCTTTCCATTCTAATATGTGAAACATTTTGATCAACAAGAAGATAAAACTGGAAAACAAGAGATGAGATAACAATAGATATTGTTTAATAATTCAATCTTCTTTTTTGTTTTTTGGTTTTCCTTCTCCCCCAAAACAATGAAATACGTAGCTTGGAGATTGTATTGGACTCTCAGTCCTCAGTAAGAATTAATTACCGCTTCTTCTTTTATTCCCCCCCCCCCACTTTTTTTCTTTACCAGGTGATGGCTGTGGACACCTAGTGACTTATCAGGATAGTGGTACAATGACATCTAAGAATTATCCCGGGACCTACCCCAATCACACTGTTTGTGAAAAGACAATTACAGTACCAAAGGGGAAAAGACTGATTCTGAGGTTGGGAGATTTGGATATCGAATCCCAGACCTGTGCTTCTGACTATCTTCTCTTCACCAGCTCTTCAGATCAATATGGTAAGAAAAGAGACCTGGGTTTCTGTGAGCATCAAAATTTTCGATATTTGCGGAGAAGGGCAAGTGGTTTGTTAATGAACAGTATATCCCGAGAAGATTAGAAGAGAAACTTGCTTGTGTAAGCTCTTGGGGGGAACTTAGAAGAATACATTTACTTCATAAGCTGAAACAGCAAAAGACATCTAAGGAGATGTGAACCTTGTGTGTGTCTTAGAACCTTTGAGTGAGTGTCAGTGCTGCTGGGGAGAGAATTGGAGATACGTGACATTTGGTAAACCATCTACAGTTCATTATTCATTTGACAAATATTTATTGAATAGAAGAGTGACTATGTTTCAGGTACTCTGTCAGGAACTGGAATGTAACAGTGAAAAAACAAAGTTCCTTTATGAAACTTGCATCTGTGGGGAGAGGAAGGTAGAAAATAAGCAAATATATCTGTAGTATGAGAGATGGTGAGAAAGAAAAGGAATAACGAAAACTAAGGCATCTAAAGGTGATGTAGAGCCTGCCTTTGTTTTTGTGCCACTTCCAATGGGATGGTAGGGAGGCATCATCAGTAAGTGGACATTTGAGCAGAGACCCAAAACGAGGTAAGGGAATGGACTGTTTAGGTATGACTGGGTTCAGAGTTTTCTGGGGAAGAAAACGGCAAGTGCAAAGGTCAGTTTCCTAAGTAGCCTTTGAAATTTAGTGTTTTGTGCTTTGAGATGTGCTGTTAGCCCTCTGGAACCTGAAATCACAGTCACAATGACCCTTTGATCCTAAGCCCAAGGAAATTGGGCAGTTTGAAATCGATAACAAAATCTTGCATACATTCTTTTGAGTATAGAGATTTTGTGAAATTCTCTGTGCACACAACTTTAAAAATGATACAAGTTTTAGGTAAAATCCTGTCTGCCTGCTAGCTCTACTGATAATTTCTCAAACACTCACAGCTTTCTCACCTGTCTTGACCTTTGCACTCAGAGTTGCTTCCTCACTCCTGCTGCCTCTTCCTACAGTTTAGAAGCCCAGACAAGCCTTGTGACGATTCAGAGATCTAAACCAGCTCCCATGGGATAAAAAGATCTAAGATCGTTTTTTAATCCCTAGGAACATTGTCTGTTTAATAATGGTTGAGTTACTCCGACAGAGTCAAGATGGTCATTTCCATATAATCGTTGGTAACTTTTTAACTGTAGTTTGACTCAAATGGGCAGGATGACACTTCCAGGGATGCTGAAGGCCCCTGGGAACACTTATTGTTCCATTACCTCTGGTAATCTAATGTGTGTTAACTTATGGAGGCATTTGTCAGGGAGTCCCTCAATAGCCAGGAGGTTTCTTTCAGATTTTGAGGAGGGGGTGAGTGTCAGAGATGCAGTGTGAAAAGTGATGCAAAGTGCTGCAGGGCCGGAAGCAGCTTTTCCACTGCTTCCGGGTCTCTTTGGGGAAGCGTCTGCCTTGCCCGGAAGATGAGCATTTCATTCTACCTGCTGACATAACAGTGGAGGAATCATTCTGTTGCATAAGACTGTCACGTCAGAGGCTGAAGTGAGAGCAACTAAGGGAAGCAAGTCCTCTCAAAGCAGGATGTGGAGAATGGATGTGGCTTTCCCACACCAGGGAGTTTCCTCTATCATCTTTGAGGTATATTCATAAATATACACAAAGGCAGAAAAGATCACGGGCGGTGGCTTATGCCTGTAATCCTAACACTGGGAGGCCTAGGAGGAATGATCGCTTGAGCTCAGGAGTTCAAGTAATCTAGCCTGGGTAACATGGTGAGACCCCCATCTCTATATTATAAGAGAAAAAAAAACAGAAAATAATGGAATTAACTACATATCTCAAGCTAACTTGCAAGGTGATCATGATCTGCCTCCTCATTTCTAGATTCTTGAGCTTTCAAGCTTAGATGCGTCACTAGAAAATGAATAATGAATTGCAATTCATTCATAGCAATAAAGCCAAGTAATTTTTCTCCTTGAATTTTTTTCTATATAAATTGAATGTTTGTCTTTTGGAAATAAAATGTATACTCATTATAGAAATAAATATATTCAGTGCCTATTGTATGCCAGGCACCTGCTTGGCTCTTACATATATTGTCTAGAATCCCCTAATCCACCTTCCAAGGTAAATAATCAATGCCTTCCACAGATAGGGAAACTGAGGCACAGTGTGATTAGGTTAACATGCCCAAGATCCCAAGAGTGTACAATTGGGGTGAAAGAGAGATTTATATCTGTGTCTCTGTGGCTGCAAGACACCTACTCCCACTGCTGTTGTCTCCTGGTTTCACCATCACCAAAAAACCACATTGCACTATCATCCTTCCCGGGTGGACTAGCCCATTATTACACTATGCGGCAATTTCGTCTAAAACACAAGAAGTAAGTAGTATTTTTGATTGAGGATGTGCTTAAGATAAACTATGTAATGATGCTCAGAATTTCTCTCTTTTGTGGCTACTTTAAAGATTTCCGGTGACCAAAAACACTAACCCGACCTATATTTTAACTTAGTTAAATAAACCCCTGGTCTGTTTGAACATCCTCCAGGAATGCAGAAGGAGGAGGAGACAGAAGTGCTTTGTCTTTCAGTGGCTGGCGCTCAGAGAGTGGACATTCCTGTGCAGCTGTTGCCCAGCTTCCTGGAAGCATGGAAGGGTGGGAGGCACCTCTGCAAGCTGATGTGGCCACAGGATCTGGCATGGCTGCGGAAGCAGGGCCCTAGTGCCCTTGCAGACTCCCAAGGATCTAGAGCTATATTGCCTGAACCAGTGAGAGAGGGGAATGTCTGCTGAAAGTCAGCAGGGAGAGAAGGCGTGTTATGGAATACCACCTTTAATTCCAAAATATGATGGCTTCTAATGATTATATGTGTGGCAGAAACAGCAGAATCGTTTTAGTTTATCCTGCCTGATATTTTTTATTAACCAACTAATTGTTAAAACCCACTGCCAAAGGATTTTAAAACTTAAAACTATCAGAATTTGAATATGGAGTAAATGTTTTGAAAAAGAATAATGTTTCCTGGCATTAATGTTTGCAAGCTCTGCCAAGAGTGGACATACTTGTGATTACACTAACCATTGTGAATATGCTAAAGTTGTATAGTGTTCATCATTATGCAGTTAATGTTTAATGGTTCCCCACCATGTCAATTTTGTTTTAAATATTTGGTTTATATACTTTGGGTATTTTGATAATTCACATTCTTGCTAGCAAAAATGCGTTGTAAACAAGTGTAAACACCCACAACAACTTTCACAGTAATCTAGCAAAATATGCACTTGATCTCACTGTTTCCTAATACAGACAAAATGGGATTATTCTTCTTCTGTTTGTCATATGATTACGGCTGATCTTTCAGATTCAAGAATCCATTAGAAGAATGTACTTGTATGCCTATGACTGAATTAAGACACTAAGATATGTGTGCTATTAATATTATGCTGGCCAAAACAAAACAAAAAAATCTTTAAGAAGTATCATACTTTTCTTAGTAGACATCATTTTCACTATAGCTAGGGGAATTCTAGGTTTTTGTTTAACAGACCAAAGTAACTGAGACTCCCTTTGAAAAAACGCTAATATCCGTTTTCCAGTCTGTGGTCCAATTCAGGATCATAAAGCAGTTACTTGTCCTGACTTCTCAGTCTTCCTTTATCTTTTGAGAATACTGACCAGTTATTTTACAGAATGTCTGTCAATTCAGTTGGTTTGATGTTTCCTCGTGATTGAATTCAGATTATGTATTCTGGGCAGACATAATACTACTACTTTTTAAAGAAATCTTTAAAAGGCTTGCTTATGACAGTTTCTAACATTAGAAATTATGAGGTCATGTGTCCCTTCAAGAATGAGAACTAAATCTGCATTAAATTTCTTTGCTTCCCTCCTGACTATTTGATTAAATGACTCTTCTTTTTTCAATCAAAACTGCATTGATTTTTAGGTTATTTCAAGCTGAAGTGTCTTCCTGGAGGAGTTCTTTGTTCTTCAAAGAGGCCCATGTAATATGAAACTTTGAAAGGACTCAAATATAAGGTGTTGCCTTTTTGTAGAAGACAATTTTGGAGAAATCTGGGCACATAAGATAATAGAAAGTTGATTAAGGTAGCCTACCCAGGCTGTTCTAGGATTGAACACACTTTGAAACCTGGAATTTGAAGATTCAGACAAGTAGTTATTAAAGAACATCTCTTTAAATTTAAACATATTGTATAAGACATTTAAGATGACTGCCTTGGTCCTGTTCTCAGTTCCCCCCTCCCTCATTTTACATATATGTGGTAAAATAACAGAAGGTTAGTTATATAAAACACTGAAATATCTTAAACTTTGAGGAAAAATAGCTGCTGATTCAGGCGTTGTGTCACACTAATATACACAGATTTAAAATATTAAATATATAATGTTGTATTTATTTAGAACACTGAAGAGGGAAGGCTTTGCATTCATACTGAAGATACTACTATTAATTTTACAGCCCTTTAGTGAGCATGTAACCTTGACTTCCCCTCTGGGTAAATTCCATTTCTAGTCTTGCTGACTAGAATGGACTTAGACTGGAATATTCACTCAGAGGTTTGTTTTTGCCCCCTCTGCCGGTAGGGACCTCAGAAGAGGTCATTTCTGTTTTCCTGATCTTTCAAGAAGGTTGAGTCTGAGTTTCCCCCTGAAAGGTGACCTCCACACTGGATGGAGTTCGAGGTGGTTCGGGGACTGCCTGAAGAGCTGTCGGAGCAGTCTTGGCAGGAACCAGACCCTGGCCAGTCTTCATAAGCATCTCAGGGTCTCAAAGGAGCTTGTTCTGATGGAGACTCTAGACTTTCCCACCTGGATCAGTGTGGATCAATAAAACCAGGCTGGCCTTGAAAATGGATTGAAATTTTTGTTGCTGCCTCGATATTACACTTGTGTTTAAGAGCACAAACTCTGTAATTGGACTTGCCTCAAATTCCTGCCTACTCACAGGTGTGAGCCACCACCCTGGCCTTTACTGCTTAT